AAATTGCTATTAATAAATTATATTTAATAAAAAAAACTAATAATAATAAAAATAATAAATAAACAAAAAAATTATACTTTAGTTAACACAATTGAGAATGAGAAAAACGATAAAAGAAAAGAAGTAAGAGAAAGTTCTATTTAAATAATAATTATTTAAAATTTAGCTAAAAGACTAAATGATACTCTAATTTACATAATTAGACTTGGTGATCTACAAGTTCATATTTTGCTAAAGCTGAAGAGTTATTATTATCTAAGTATCAATTAATAAATATAGTAATATTTATACATAAATTTGCTATTAATAAATTATATTTAATAAAAAAAAAACTAATAATAATAAAAATAATAAATAAAAAAATTTATTTTCGTTACACTCAAGTGAGAAAGCAATAAAGAAAAGAGGTAAGAGAAAATTTCTATTTAAATAATAATTATTTAAAATTTAGCTATAGACTACATGATATTTTAATTACATAACTAGACTTGGCGATCTATGAGTTCGTATCTTGCTAAAGCTAAAATGTTATTATTATCTAATTATTAAATCAAATAGTAAGATTGCAAACTCTTACTAATATCTTCATGCTACTATAATGAAAGTCTATGAATATATCCTGCCTTATGAATTTATCTAAATATTTTATATAGTCTAAATTTAAAGAACTTGAATTTCATTGATAAAGACTTCCATTATCAGCATATTGAAATAGCATCTAGTATTTATTTGTTTCAATCCATATACTGTATAATCTATATTTTGCATCCCTATTACTATTTAGAAATTTAATTAATTATTTTCCATATATTGTATAATCTATATTTTGCATTCCTATTACTATTTAGAAATTTAATTAATTATTTTTAACCATTGAATGTCAAGTGTAATATGCATGTGACATATTATAATAATACAATCATACAGTTAATCAGTAAATTTATTATTTTATATAAAAGAAATTTAGCACTGATTTTAATGTCACTACTCTCTTTCAAAGTTTCTTTCTTTATCTTATATTTACATAGAAGTGTTTTACTTTTTTTTTTTAATTTGAACTTAGATTTCACTAAATTTTATATATTTAATCCTTACTTTCTATTTAGCAAATTATGAATTCATAGTTTGCCAAATCTAATATTTCTTTATTATTATTTTTTTTAGCTTTTATTTTTCTCTCTTTACTTTATATTTTCTGCTTTTTATATTTTATTAATTTGCTAAATATTTAAAATATTAAGTACAGTCAAACCTCTCTATAGTCACACCTTTGAAATACAAAAAACCGTGATTGTAAAGAGGTGTGACTAATATAGAAGTATTTCCTATATAGTTATAAATAATTGGTAAAAATAAATTTGTAATTATACCAATTTTGTGACTATAGAGGAGGTGATTTTAGAGGGGTTTGACTATATTTTCATATATTATAACAGTGAAAACTGGTTCTGGTACTGTTATATCAAATATAGTAATACCAGTAAATTGCGAGTCAGTATGATGAGTTAGTCACTCTACAAACTAGAACATCATATACCTATAGATAAAAGAGGCAATTATATTTGGGCAAGGGTGAATATAGTCATAGGTTTGTCTTTTTTACCTGTATCAAAAAACTTGGGCTTCAAACTGGTCAAAAATAACTATTATTAGTATGTTGGAAGAACCAGACAAAACAATTACTACAACTATTCTCAGTATGTTAGAAGAACTAGACAAAACAATTACTACAACTATTCTCAGTATGTTGAAAGAACCAGACAAACAATTACTACAACTATCCTCAGTACATTGGAAGAATTGGACAAAACAATTACTACAACTATCCTCAGTACGTTAGAAAAACAGGACAAAACAATTACAACAACTATCCTCGGTATGTAGAAGAATTGGAAAACAACAACCACAGTAGTCCTCAGTATATTGAGAATTAGCCAAACAGAGTAACAGTACACTTTATCATTATTATATAAACAAGAGAACAAGAATAATAATTTATATTATTTATATTCTTAAGCAGTAAATCAGGATATATTTAATTATAGTGTAAGTAATTAATAGAAGATAGATTTATTTGAATTACAAAGAATATTTTTCTCAAGAGTGAAAAGCCTTTATTAAATATTTTCTTTTACTTTGAATATATTATACAACTAATATCCTGATGAATATAAAAAATCTATTTTAGATAAAAGATCTGCATATCAACTATCTATTCAAATACTATCACTATTAAATCTTTAATACAGTCATCTCTCATTAATATCAACCTATTTGGATTACTTTTATATTCATATTGATAGCGATATTAATGAGGAAACATATTAAAGTTGATATATAGAAGGGAATTTTAATATTATTTAACATATAAAAATTCATTTTATATCCTAGATTAATATTAACGGGTTTGATATTAATGAGGGATGACTATACTATATATATATATACCAAATAATTAGTCTTAAAGTTCTAGATTATGTATTATTAGAAAATACTTAAATTGGAACTTGTTAAGTATTATTAGTTATCTTTATTCAAAATAAATATTAAGTCTTTATGCAAATTTTCGTTACTATCTACTAATATATTTACACTATATCTATCTTTTTTCTATATATAATATATTCAGATCTAATCTATTCTAGCAAATTGATCCAAGCTACCTTAACGATAACCTGAGTCTATTTTCTCCTTACAAGATCATCTATATATAAATTATACTGAGCAGCAGTATTTTTCATGTCAATTTTTAATATATAAATTACTTACATACATATATACTATATATTGATTTAAGCTTGTACTATTATATTATACGTATATACTAATATTGATTATAATTAGATTAATAGCTATTTAATTAAACTATATTTGATATTAAAAAGTAAAACTTTAAAAAAAGTTTAATATCACGGGTTTATTAAAAGTATGTATATGTATATATATATACATATATATATAGATATATATAAATACTTTTATTCTCTTACTATTATCGTTACAGCTTCTTAATTTCTTACTTTTTAATTTTCTTTTTTTTTTAATAGCAAAACATGAGTTTATAGATAGCTAAACTTAATCAAACTAATTATATTAATTATTTAATATAATTCTAATCTTACTTTTAAAATATTCACTATGGTGGCCCTCTAAAATTCATGATACATATTACTGCCACAGTATGTATTTTATTTTATTATTTCAAAATGTTATTATACAATATATTACATATTATAAAACTAATTCTTTATTTATAACTTTCTATGATGCTAAATCATATATTATAGCAATGATATTAATTACTATTTTTTACATATATAACAAATTATGAATCTGAAATTCATTCTTATATTAGTAATTAAATCAATTTTTTATATTAATCATATTACTAGAAGATAATACTGTTTGAGAACTTCCTGAAAAAGATATTTTTTTATTTGTTGGAGGTGTT